TGGATTCATACATACGGTTTAAGAGGGTTCGATTCGGATCTGGTCTTTGTAAAGTCGCTGCAAGTCGGAAAGCCCGCGTTATATTGTTCATTCATGGAACGAGGCTATCAGAGCTGGTAAACAAACCGTTAGCTCAAGATGAGAGTTAGGATAGATGGTTCTCGCCTGGATCCATGAAACTGTGATTTCCAGCCCCTCGGTTACCAAAGCTCGTAGCCGTGTTACCAAGTCCGAGTCCAACTGATCATGTTCGTCCCTGGAACTTACATTACAGCTTGAACGATTTGAGTTTTTTCACATCGCCGCCGCTGCGACAATACCATCTCGATTCCAGCATGTCGACCACTTCGTGTGGCAAATTCGGAATGAGCCACTGCATGCGGAGTGTTTCCAAATTCGGGAGGAATTGGGCGTCGGTCGTGAGGCGCTTGAGGAACGGTATTAGCCGATCTCCCCATGACCAATCCCAGACTGAGGTGTATAGACGTAGCTCGCTGATGAAGGTTGTCTCTTCTAGACGGATGCCGTGCAAGTTGGTCCCAGATAACATTCGCAAGTTGCAGCCTGATTGTGAGCATTTCCAAGACCGACGATGTTTCAATTCTGACCAGCAAGAGCTTGAGTACTATGCTCTGGGAGATAGATCCAGCCCAGGGAATTCAAAGAAGATGGGAACAATATTTCGAGGGAACGGAGGCAATTAAGGGGATGGGCGCGCGCGGCTCTAAAAGTAAACCGTAGGGATGATCGATGCTGAGCTTTTCGAGGTGGGGGGCTAGGTGCATATTGTCCAAGATTTTGGCAGCATGATAGCCACGGTAGATGAGCAGTACCAGCTGTGCCCATGGGAGTGAGATCGATTGTGCGAAATCTTGTCCAGATCCACCTCGCGCAGGTGCGGGGCTGCAATTGGGATCTGATTGTCTTCTTCGTAAGACGCATATGTGGACAACGCCAATTTCCTGCCGAGTGGCCTCGAATTGCGTCGCTTGAGAATGGTAGTAGAAATTTCAAGACGCCCACAAAGATCTCCCACCGAGTCAAGTCTAGCCTGGAGATGTGCCGGTTTCAATTCGGAGAGACGTGTCCGCAGGGAGTCATTCGAAGGAAAGCCTGACAAAGCTGAAACTCTTGGGGAGAGCATGATGAGAGCGTCCGACAAAAACCTCGTGAGAACTTTTGACGATCAGCGTTTGATCAGTGTGACACGCGAGCACGGAACTAGCCGAATTTCGAAGCGAGGCTCGGATGCTCATAAAGTTCAAGCTTCGGCTGCGTTCGTGTGCGGCTGTCTTCCACTTCGCAATCCACACGCTCCAAATAGTTCTACCGCAGTAAGACACATACATGCCAGCTCGCCCGAGTACTGCATATCGGAGTTCAGGTTGTCTCTTATGAGCCCAACGAATAGGGCTGCCGCCCGTTGCCGTCGCGACGGTTCGACGGCACCCGTCGAACGGGTGCCGTGCCCGTCCCGTCGACCATTTTTTCCCTCAAGCAACGGCCCGTCAAATGACGGCCGCGACGGTCGTTTCAACGGGTCATATAAATCTACCTTCAAACTGACACTTTCCGTCATTATTTAGTCCACAGAGACTTCCATCTTGGACGGATACACTTTCCTGCTCGCCTTACATTTTTGCTGGCTCCAAACAGACGGTTATATTGCTTGTGTTGGGTACTCGGCAACTCCCGATCATGATTGCCGACGTGCAACCTCAAGGTTTGGGTCGGTTTCTCTAGCTGGAAGCACGAAAACATCAGGGTGGGCATTTAGGAGTTAAACTCATGACATTGCATAGACTCGAACCAGATCCCAAGGGCAGTTTGATGACAATCGATCAGTTATTCAGCTACTCTATTGATCGACTATCATCAATCGCTGAATCGCGACTGGTTCGAGTCTAGACATTGCAGTCATAATACAGATTTTATGAGGGTGAAAAGGCAAGCTAAAGTTTAAATTACCACCCTACCCGTCGAGACGGCCGCGACGGCCGTCCCATCGCCCGTCCCGTCCCGTCAAGGCTTCGGGAAGAAAAAAAACGGCTGTCGAGTCGACGGCCGTTGCCGTCACGGCAACGGGTGCCAGCCCTACCAACGAACGTGTTCACGCAGTGCGATCGGGTCCCCCAAATTTTGCCTCATTCCGTGCACCAAGCGGATCGGAGCTCTGGGCAACGGGCCATCGTCCGCGTATGTGATGAGATCTGTGTCGTCGACGCTTTCGTCCGCATTATACTGTACTAACGACTCGAAACTCATTCAGCGACCTCAGCGTCCCCATCGTCCTCTGCCTCGTCGACTGCAGCGTCCTCAACCCCGACGTCCATCCCAACCGACAACGGCAGTGTCCAACTCGATCTTGTCCTTGATCAGTTGCGCGAGCTGTTTCACGGCCGCAGACAGCGTTATTTGAGACTGCCGCAATTTTGAAGTAGCTCTAGCGAGCTCGGGAAAAGAGTAGCGAGCGTGTGAGGATGCCCTCCGCTGTCGGGAGAACTTGCCGAGTGATCTTGAAAGACGCAAAGGAAAATAAGATGTGGGTCCGCGGGATCGGCGACCCACGCGAACCAAACACAAACGTGCATACTACTCAACCATTGTCTGAAACACACACTCATTAGGGACAGTCAGAGTAGACGATTCAGTAGCGATTAAGGCGAACGATTCAAAAGGGATTCTCGAATTTAGTTTCGTCTTGAATCGTCCGTGAATCGCCGTCAGCTCTGACCGTCCCTCAGCCTCCCTATTCAACGCACGATTCTAATGTGATTCTCGCACCCGTCAAGACCTCATCAATTGATCCTGATATTAATCACGTCTGAATCGCCGTCCTGAATCGCTTTTGAATCGCCTGAAGCGCCTCTGGAGGCGCTTCGGCGATTCAGATGTGATTCTGCATTTCGGCGATTATTCCACGCTTTAATATTTCGAGAATCACTTCCGAAGCGTCGCCTTAATCGCCCCTAAATCGTCTACTGTCCTGATCTGTACGGTAGCAACCGCGCCGGAGGCGTTACGAAAATTTGGGTTATGGTGTAGCAACGGGGGGTGAGTTAGGTGTTATGTCGAGACATTTAAGCAGCCTCTGGTTCCCCAAAACTACTCAAATGACAGTAATTTAGCCTAAGTGGCATTGAAAGTTTGCATGTCTGCAATAAGGAATAGGGCTGCAGCGAATTTTCATCATTTAGGCCTGTTTTAGAGCCAGGATTTTTTCGTTTGGAAAATAGTACAAAAAGTTGTAGCAACTGGGCCTCCGTTATGCGTTACGCTGCGGAAATTAGGCAACATTTCGGGCCCTGCGTTACGCGTTACGTTGCTACCATACAGATCGGGACAGTACTCTGACTGCTGCAATTGAATAGAAAGACAATAGTAATATTCTGGCTCTCGGGAAGGGAAGGAGGTGGGACGCGGTCAACGACGTGTCTGCCCAACGTCTGCCCAGTGGCATGTACGCCCGATGGATCGGACATCGCTCCCGACCGGCGATCCCCGTCACAGGTCTGATCGGACGTACCCGTTTTTTTCGGCCCGTTTGTACGCATAAAGCGGGTAAGGCCGACAAGCGGCACAGCCCGCTACCAATTAATGATTGAGTTGAGCATATGTACAGTACATAAATTGAGCTTGTGATTTTCACCAAAATTTGTTGTACACTGAGGTTATAAAGTATTGAATAATGGCGGCCCAACGTTCGCTCGGTCGCCGTCGCGGGCGTCCCGCGACGGCGACCAGCTCACATTAGGCCACAGGAAATTATCCGCTGGCGCACCCTTGACCGTTCAACTCTTCCGCCTTAATTTGAGATCACTCAAGATCCTCGTGTACTTTAGATGCACAGATGAAAGATCTTTCTCAGTTCATACCAGTTCAAGGAGTCCAGCGTTTGACTTAGCGTGTTTACGAGGACGGCTGCGGCAATCAACGACACGTAACTCTGCCGTTGACAAGCCGGACAATTTTGGCAGAGAGAAAAGTAGCTTACGCGAAAAAGGCTGACGGAATGTGATGGTCTGCGAGAATGCGCTTGATAGGGCGCCCTATAACCCGTACCTAAAGGTAGCGGAAATTGTGATTGGACGTTGAGGGCATTTTTTGCCCGTTTCCGTTCGCCTACTGATCGGACGTATCACAGCATAAGCCTTAGACCAGTGACTGGTCTGTCTATGGAGGCAAGCCTTCTATCGACAATATCACTTTCGTGGAATCGAGCCTACATAAGCCTAGGTCCTAAATCAATCCCGACGGCGTGCTGTGCCGCCATGACTACTCCGAGTTTCAACCAGGATGCAAGCGAAGGCCTAAGGATTGCCTGGTTGCACAAGGGGTGCACTTGCTGAGAATTCTTCGGGCGGCAGATGTCTGCAACCAAGAAGTCATTTGATTCGGGGCTGGGTGATAATTTGGCCCTCTGCGAGGCTTTTTAGTTCCCTAATTATCTTCACATTCAAAGGCAATAAATCAGGCTCGAAAGAGAGGATAAGACCACCCGGTAGCACATGGTTGCATCTGCCCACAATAGCATTATAATGTTCTAGCGGCAGTTGTAAGCGGACAACCCTGTTCGATTCAGGGCTGGGTGATTATTTGGCCTGCAGGTTCCTTTCAGTTCTCTACTTATCTTCGCTGCCAGCTTCAACATACATAAACCAAAGATCAAATGAGGACTAACCCGGCAGGATATACTGTATGCATCTGCCTCGTGTCTCACACCACAGATCTTTAGATGCATAAGGTCCGCGTTCAATCCGGGGCTGGGTGATAGTTCTGCTGACCACCTCCTTTGCATCCCACTTACCTTCAAAGCAAACAAATAAGGGGTAAAAATGAGGATAGCAAACACATGGTGTACATCTACCCAAAATTGTGTAGCAGCCTCTTGCAAGTAGAAGACCCCTATTCGATGCGGGGCTGGGTAAGCTTCAGATTGGATTTTTACTTCCTACTTACATTCAAAGCAAATAAATCCAGGTAGAAACAGGGGAGAGGACCACCCGGTAGCACATGGTGCGCATCTGCCCAGTATATTAGCCAGTTGAACTTGCAGGCAGAAGACCCCGTTCAATTCGGGGCTGGGTGATTAGATGGAGCCTGCTCTTTTGTTCTCGCTCACCTTTGAGGCAATGAAACAAAGTTCAAGACAAATACAAGACACCTAGTAGCACACGGTGTGCATCTGCCCAACATAATATCATTTTGCAGCAATGTGACAGCAGAAGACCACTGCTCGATTCGGGGCTAGGTGATAATAGCCAATTGGCCTCGCATTTTTCAACCAAATTTGAGTTGAATATTCATCTTTTTCCTCTGCCTTCAATCTACCTGCAAGTCCAATTTTTTTGGTCGGTGCTAGAATCCCAGTGTGTGAAAAAAAGCTTCTCCGAGTCCCTGATTCGGTGCTGAAATTTTCCAGCTCGAAGTTTGTTAGTCTTGAACTGCAATAATCTCTCTCCAAGTCTTCCAGCGTGATTACCATCGCCAGATATCCCCCGGTATGATTTTTCTGGTTCAGAACGCTCAGGATGGTCCTTCCGCTTAGAGTGAGTTGAAAAAATTGACAGTCACGTGTATCCTCGACGCGACGCGACGAGCCAAATAATGCCACACAATCGCCGAGAAGAGGCCGTTCATAAATCTTCATTGCAAAAGCGCTGAGTCAATAGCTAAAAATACCTAAATTCGAAGGGACTGAAATGCACGCAAGCTGATTCAGACAATATCTGTGTGTACACTCGAAAGGACAGACGAGTACCATAGACTACTAAAGATTCAGCGGCAAACCGATTTCCACCCAGATGTGTCAGCCCAGCAAAGAATCTACCCTTCACAACATCAACTCACACGAATTTTTTCCAATGCCACGGCCCTGTCGAACAATATCACACTTCGGCCTTGTCGATCCTCTTGCTTCTTGCCTCGATCCAGGGACCACAGTGCTTCTGCAGAAAATGCAGGGCAGCTGTGGTAGACGGCATGTTTACTGGGCGACGACTCTTCTAGCTCAGATTTTATATTTAGCAGGTTTCTAACTTGATCACTCCTGCAACTTGAGTGAATTCAATATACTTGTATTCAATTTCCAGGCAACGGTAAGTAAAGGGATCTTGAAGCTTGAAGAGTTAGTTGAATTAAGCACAGCCTTGAGACTTCACGGTTAACGTGCATGGATGGCGGCGGAATGCGACCTCCCGAGGTTATACTGGCCGATGTTTCTCAGAATTGTACGGCTTTGGACTCCCAGTTCGAGATTTAGGGACTCCGTCATGTCCAAGATGTGTTCCTGGATGCCTGCGTCCACGATGGCTGCGATCCCACCCGGATGTTCACTGATTCTAGCGAGAGCCGAGACCGCGCTTACACTTGCAAGATCGGTGAGCCTATCTTTGAATAAGCACCAAATATTAGTGTCCAATTTTGCTTCAAGGACTCACTGCAAGATTTGCACAAGCCGCTGGCAGATTACCTCGAGAACGGCTGCTGATGTGGTCTTCTGGGCCGCAAGGTGTTCCAGCAACAGGCACGTCCATGTCTGGACGTCTGAGCTCGGTGAAGTAAGCAGTTTGGCGATGGAGCCCAGCAAGTTGGTGTCCACGACATCTTGTGCGCCTTCGGGCGAGTTGGTGAGCAGAGAGAGTGCGTGTACTGCACTTTCGACGACCACAATATCTTCGTCACTAAATAAGCATGCTAGTCAACATCCGCTTCATGGACACACACTCAACACTCACCATAATAATGTCACGAGTTGTTTGCAGGGTTTCACTTCCAAGACCACCGCTGTGAGGGTCTGTGCCAGCTCTGCCAGCATCTGACACGTCTATTTACGAACTTGAATGCTCCGTGATTCGAGCAGTTTCGCAACGCAGTCTAGGATATTTGCGTCCACTGCGGCCTGCGCGCCTTTCGGTGACCTGCTAATTGCATACAGTGCCGCTACCGCACCCTCGACAGCCACCAGCTTTTCGTCGCTGATTCAGAATCAGCCGCACCCTGTTCAAGAATAGATCATTAATACACACCTCAAAAGTGATACGAGCTGTGTGCACGGATTTACAGCGAGGACGACTGGCAACGTGGTCTTATGGGATGAAAGCTGCCCCACTACAAAGCACGCCCATTTCCGTACAATGGCTTGAGGTGAATTAAACAGTTCCATCACGTGTTGCAACACATTCATGTCCAGTGCAGCCTGCGCACCTTCGCGCACTGAGGCGATCCAATGCAGCGCCTGGGCCGCAATCGCCACGACACGTACATTTTGATCGCTGATCCATGAAATCAGCATGGCTGTTCCAGAACAAAGAATCCAGACTCACTACAAACGTGGGACGAGCTGTTCACAGGGATTTATAGCGAGGACAGCGGCCACTGTCGTCTGATGGCCCGCCAGCTGTCTCAACAACCTGCATGTCCACCTCCTGATCTCAGTGTTCTGCGAGTCAAGCAGTTCGGCCGTGCAGTCCAACACCCGCGCAACGACCATCGCCTGCGCGGCTCGGGAGAAGACGGCAATCCGGGACAGTGCATACACTGCAGACTCTATGACCTTGTCATTGTCGTCCCTGTTGTGAAATCAATTATATGCTATGACTCCGGAATCCAGAACTGACCGTAAGAATTCCACGAGCTTGTTGAAGGGGGTCTGCGCGATAACAGGTTTCAACATTCTCTTGTGGCTTCCCACCTCCCCCAGCAGCTGGCATGTCCATCTCCTGACATCAGTATTCGGTGTCTCAAATAGTCCTGCCACGTGGTCCAACACCCTTGCGTCCACCACAGCAAGTGCGCCTTCGGGTGATGCGGTGATCTTGGACAGTGTGCGCACCACCCGCGTCATAACTTCGACATATTTGTCTCTAATCCATACTTCAATGCTCTGTTAGAGCAGAAATAACTCAAACTTACCGCAAGTCAGATAAGACAAGCTGCTGGCAGTGCTTTGTATCGAGGGTGTGGCTTAGCACACTTTCCAACATCCGCCTTGGCCATTCCAAGTTCTGTGTTCCATGCTCCCCAGCTACCCAGTCCAACACCTTTGCATCTACGACTGCCTGCGCGCCCTCGGGACATTGAGCAATGCAACTCAGTACCTCTGCCGCACTCTCGATGACCTCGATATGTGTCTCCCTGGTTGATGATCAGCTAATTGTTCAAGAACAATCACCGAGGCTCACCGCAAGAGGAATACGAGCTGTGGGCACGGGTTTACACTCAAGACAGCCCTTGTGGTGGATTCGTGGCGCGCTAGGTCTCCCAGCATCTTGCATGTCCATTTGCGGATCTCGTTGTTCCGTGATTCTAACAGAGCCGACAAGCAATCTAACAAAACTGCCTCCTCTAGGGCTTCCGAAGAGTATATAATGCAAACTATCGCAGTTGCTGCACTCTCCTTTACGTCGAGAGCAGTGCCATGACGAGCTTCTTCACTGCTCCAGAATAAACTCCTGGTTCAAAAACGGAGAATTGAGGGCCTACCGCAACAGAGAAGCGAGCTGTTTGCAAAGCTTCACGACCGAGATGGCGATCGCTGGGAGTGTGGACTTGTGTTGGACCAGTTGTGCCAGCATTTCACATGTCCATCTCCGGATCCTGGCCTTCCCGGATGCAAGCAGCGTTTCTGTGCACTCCAACAATCGTGCATCCACGAGAGCCTGCGCGCTGTCCCGCCATCGGGCGAGGCAATATAGTGCGTACACCCCACTCTGAACGACCTCGACAGTGTTGTCCCTGATGAAGATCCAACAGTCTGCTGCAGCATAAATGATGCCGACTCACTGCAAGATTGATACCAGCCGTTCGCAGGGATTTATGCCGAGAACCGCTGCTACCGTGGTTTCATGACATGCTAGCCGTGCTAGTATCATGCACGTCTGACTCCGGAACTCGACATTTGGTGATTCCAGCATTGCGTCTACGTGATACAATGCGAGGGAATTCGCCACGGTGAGCGCGTCCTCCTCGGAGTCAGCTCTCTCGTAAGTTTCCTTCAAAATCGCGATCTTTGTCGAGGGCGATACATATTTAAACCTATGGTATGAGTCAGCTGGAGGACGAAAGAACAATGGAAGTATAATACCGGAGATAACTGGTGTAAATCTCCACATCTTTACTCGAGAGCGGGATCCCGCGATTCTTTTTGATCAGGGCCAATGCCTGGCGGTCGTGCATGCGCCTCAGCAGCGGCTGTGTGGCAGCATGGAGGTCGATGTTGGGACCCGTAGGGTTGCTGTCCGACCACCAGCTGTGTACACTTTCGGGGCGCCGGAACTTGTCGTTCGGTGACTTCAGCATTGCGTCGACGTGATACAACGCTAGTGAGTTAGCCACGGTGCGCGCTTCGTCCTCAGAGTCAGCTCTCTCGTAAATTTCCGTCATAATCGCGGTCTTTGTCGAGGGCGATACATATTTAGACCTACGGTATCCGTCAGCTCTAGGATTTGAGCGTACAATGGAAGTATATACCAGAGATAACTGGTGTAAATTTCGAGATCCTCACTCGACAGCGGAGTCCCGCGATTCTTTCTGATGAGGGCCAATGCCTGGCGGTCGTGCATGCGCCTTAGCAGCGGCTTCGTGGCAGCATGGAGGTTGATGTTGGGACCCGTAGGGTTGCTGTCCGACCACCAACTGTGTATGCTTTCGGCGCGGGGCTGCTGGCAGGGAGATGAAGGCATGAGAGAGGCGGCGGTCAAGTAGCGCTGAGGCTGCGCACAGGCGACCCACAGTAGACAATGAATGATATCACGCCACGATTGACAGATTCAACAGCATTGCGCGCTCGGCCTGTGCACGGCCACGCACTGGGTGCAGCTATTCATAGGCTGTGGGGATAGTCTGAGCCTAATTTAGGAAATTCCAAGCGCCGACGAAGGCTTAAATGTCAGTGGGTAGATATGCAGGTGCCGCCGATGGCAGGATGAACCTGAGAACACTCGAGCCAGAAGTTTAGATTGCCAGTTCAGTCGTACAAAGCTGCTAGCCCGAGAAGTCCGTAGTATTTCGATTCCGGTATAACATGATATTCGTACAGAGAGACGAACAGACACCAGGGGCGAAGAATGCGGTAAACGAGGTGCCGCA